CGGCCAACGGCGCCTAAAAGGGAAAATCTCTCCAAAAAAAAGAAAAAAAAAAAAAAGAACTGCCCTCAATTATTATTAGAAGAATGGCTTGGGAAATTCTGCTGCAGATTTGATGCCTCTTAAATAATCCAATCTAAAATAACAAAAGCAAACATAGCTTATATGGGAAACTTACACTGTTCATTTCAATAATTACATTTTCATTTCAATTATTGAAATTATTCATTTCAATAATTACACTAGTATCTTGGCTGGCCCTGTAGCCTAGGTACTAAGGGAGTCAGATCCTACATGGACATCCCATGGTTAGAATCCTGGTTCTGGCAGTTTGAAAAGCACACCAGGCACGTGTGTGTGTATGTCCAAAATACCAATTAAGATAAAGAAAAGGAAAAGAAGGGATTTCAGCATGATGATGTCCTACTGGGGGATGCTTTCTTCCTCTCTCTCTGGTGAATGCATACACTTTCTGGCAATTAAAAAAAAAACACTAGTATCAGAGGGAAAAGCAAGCTACTTTATACTCTTTTAAAAAAAGTTTACCATTTTAACAAATTTTAAGGTTTTTCTCTATTCAAGATAGAATGCATACACATGAAAGAGAGAGAAGCACCCTCGACAGGGGTATCATGCTGTAATCCCTTTCCGCTAGACCATAAATGTCTGGCATATTTTCACAATGACTGGGCCAGGGACTAGAACTACAGTTAGCATATGGCTTCCAGCTCTACAGTCTGTCACATTATCAACTATGCCACAGAGGCTGGGTCTATGTGCTTCCTGTGTAATCAAAAAAATTAAGAGTTCTCTTCCTATACAAACTTATAGCAGATATATTTTCTGAGTTCAAACTAGTTCCAGAAGCATTTCTAGACCCCAATATAAGTGCAAAGGAAATTTCCTTCTTTCAAAATCGATTTAACTGGAGCTTCCATCTAGCCTTCAACTAAAAGTGATTATTCTGCAGTGTAATAATATGTTAAAGGTAAATAACAGAAGACTAACAAAATTCTACAGATGCCCTCTAAGAGATGATTATGCTTCATTAAAATCATACACTTTGGGCTGAATGGTGGTGCAACAATAACGCAATGCTTTACGAAGCTGACTCACATGAAAGGGGTTCCAGGTTCACGTTCAGAAACCTCCCAGAACATGGCAAGCCTGTGTATGATGACCATGATCCAGGGCTGGATGAGGCTGGATTGTGGTGTGGGAGCCCTGTTTGAGGGTGGGGGTGGGGGGTCTGTCTGTCTCACCCTTGGAAGAAAGGAAGAAAAACTTTTTTTTAAAAGACTTATTTTTTCAACTTTATTTATTATTATTACTGTTTTTTAATTTGACCAGAGAAAGACAGAGAGGAAAAGTGAGAAAGCAAGCCACCAGGTCCAGGACTTAAACCACAGTCAGCCATGTGGGAGTCTATCACCTTTAACCACCATGCTACCTGCCAGTCCTGGAAGAAAAACTTAAAAATATATCATATGCTGTACATTGCTTAAGATAGCAGCACTGATATATGTGACAAGACATTTTCAACCAAAAAAATGTAAAACCTCATTTCAAGTTGTCAACAATGAATACATGATAATGAAGGTTAACAATGAATCCCAGTAAAGCAAAATGCTGCCCCTCCAAAAAAGAATACTATTCTTGTCATTAGTAAAGCTTTATTACAAATCATTGTACTCAACTACCATTATATTGAGTTTTATTGAGAAAAACCTTGTGTAAGTCTAGCCTTTCTCTTGTTGCATAAGTAACAACATAATATGTCACATTTTGCTTTTGTTTTGTTTTTGTTTTTAGGTTTTTGCCATAGGGCGTGTGCATTCCCAGAGAGATAGTGAGAGGAAAAGTAAAAATCCCCCCCCACCAGCAGTTAGTGTAATAGCTATGTCACTGGACTCCCACATAGTCGACTGTGGTTCGAGTCCCAGCCCCGGTGGCTTAAACTCATGCCAGGTGTGTGTACGTGCGTGCCCAAGATCTTGAGAGGAGAATGGAGGAGAAGAGATTGTGGCATGGCCATTACCCCTGGGGGATGATTTCTCACTTTCTATCTCTCTGGCAAGTGCATGCACCCTATAGCAAAAACCTTTCCCCCCCAAAAAAAATAATCCCCTCCAAGGGCAGATGGCCACACAACAATCCCTTTTCCTATATTTTTCTATCAGAATTTTGAGCATGCATGCACATGTGCCCAGCATGAGTTTAAAGCCAATGGGTCTGGGACTCAAACCGTGGTCAGTCACGTAGAAGTCCAGCACCTCAACCACATCACCTGCTGGCCCTCAATTTTGTTTTTTGATCCTCAAAGTATTTACTGGCCTTTTAAAGAAAATTGACCAACTCCTGCTCTAGGTAATACAAAAATTTAGCCTAAATTTCTTATTTGTAATTCACTATTTATTCAAACTGAAAGAAATTAGAATGCTAGTAGATATTCACACATTCTCAATTAACCACTCTAATGAAAATGCCAAACAAAAATTTTCATTTTCTAATCCCCTTTCCTTCCAACTCCAGATTCACCTTATATAAGCGTACACTGATCAAAAAAATACACTGAATTCCATGAACATACATGTAACGGTCTGAATGTTTGTCTTCTCTCACAATTCACAGGCTGAAATCCTAACCCTTGGCCCAGAGCCAGTGGCATAGGTGGTAGTGTACTGAACTGCAGTGCTAGAAGCCAGATGGCTGATCATCAGTTCAGATACCCAGCGTGGTGGACCTGAAACACAGCAGGTGTATGTGTACCCCAAAGGTCCTAACGAGCTGGGAAAAAGGGACTGTAGCATGATAAAACCCTGTAGAGGGTGCCTGTTCAACTACCTGCCTCTCTCTCTCTTTCTCATGTGCATGTATTCTATCGTGAATAAGACAAACTTCTAAAGAAAGAAATCTTCAACTCCAAGTGATGGTATTTACTATGTTATTTTCCAAAAGTAGGACCTTTGGATTTGGAAAGTCAGTATATCATGAGTGGAGCCCTTATGAATATATTCTTATAAAATGAAGTCCTCGATAGTACAATGGTTACATCGCTGGACTCCCACATAGTTGACTGAGGTATGAGTCCCAGACCAGGTGGCTCAAAGCTCACATTGGGCATGCGTGTGTGCCCAAAATTCCAAGAGGAGAATGGAGAAGGAACTACTATGTGGCCTTCCCCCCAGGGGGGTGACTTTTTGCTTTCTGTCTCTCCAGTGAGTGCATGTACCCTATAGCAAAAATCTCTCTTAAAAAAAAAAAAAGGAAAACAAAAAAGAGTCCCCAGGGCCAGCTCATGGCATGGCTGTTAAGGTGGCTAGATTGCGCATGGCTGACTGTATGGTACAAGTCTTGGACCTGGAGGCTTGAGAAATATGCTGAGTACGTATGTGTGCATGCACATAATTCCAAAAGGAGGGAGAAAAGGAGAAGGGATTGCAGTGTGACCATTCCCCAGGGGAGTTGGTCTCTCAGGGCCCTTCTCTTTCGGGTGAGCACACACACACTTTGGCAAAAAAAGGAAAAAGTCCCCAGAGAGCTCAGGTGTACTCTCTGCCATGTGAGGGTACAGTGAGAAGATAGCCATCTATGAGAAAGTAGGCCCTAACTAGACACTGAATCAGCTGGCACTCTTATTTGGGGTTTCCCAGCCTTCAAAACTGTAAAAAGAATAAATTTCTGTTGTTTATAAGCCACCCAGTTTATACAGCTTGAAAAACTAGAACAATATTAAAATTTTATTCATGGAACAAAGGTAACCTGTATTGGTACTAGCATTTAAGCCCATACCCAGCTGCACTAATCACATGAAGCTGTTCTCTAATCAACCCTAAAAAGAAAAACAAAACAAACCCTTTTCCATATGTAAAAACACAAAGAAGCCTACCTCCTTGCTGAAGCTAACTAAATTTTAGTGTAGATTAAGGACACACTCAGATCTCTAATCTGTTCTGCTTAGATTATTACTCTTATAACAACTATCCTATCATTACTTAAACAAGTAAGAAAACCAAGTTAAGGATGGGAGAGGATTATAATATTTTCTAAAATTTTGGGAAGACTAGAAATCACTATAAAATAAAATATTCATTAAACTTATATGAGTTAGCACAAAAAAAAAAAAGGCACAAAGGAAAATGAAACTTCAGCCATAATTCCTCAACCCAAACATTTGGGTAATGCTAAGTCAGGATCTAGTGGCTTTAACTCATGCCAGGTACACGTGTGTACATGCCCAAAATCCTGGGAGGAGAAAAGAGCAGAAGGGATTGTGGTGTGCTCCTGCCCCTGGAGGGGTGCTTTCTTTTTCCCCTCACTGTGTCTGTCTTCAGTTAGCACATGTGCCCTAAGGCAAAAAAACTCTCAACACACATACACACACATAGCTAGCCCAGTATCATAGTGGTTAAGGGGGTCAGATTCCACATGGCTGACAGCAGTTCAAATCCTAGTCCTGGTGATTTGAAAAACACACAGGGTATGTGTGCGTGTGCCCCAAATTGCAAAAGGATGGAGAAATGGAAGGGACTGAGGTGCAACCATTCCCCACTGGGTGCCTACTCCCTCTCTCTCCTTCACCACTATCTATGGTTAGTGCACAAGTCCTCTGAAAATTAAAAAAATAATAAAATGAACCATTTGGATGAATCTGACAAAGATATGTTAAATATATAAATAAGTCAAAGCTGGGAATTGGCATGGAGGACGTATATGATAAATAACATTCCAAATTCCTCAGGGACTTTGAAGATGAGCTGAAATAAAATAAAACTGTAAATATGCTACTTTGCACATTTAATTAAGGGCTATTAAGCTAAAATAATCCATAGTACAAGTACAGAATAGAAGGAAAACCTGTTTGCGCAGTTCACATGAAAAAGACGTAAAGATTTTAAGCTAACACAAGCTCAATAGAAACCTGTTTGACCTGGCTGTTAAGAAACCTAACAGAGCTACAGGTTGCTTTCATAGAGCATAATATTCAAATAAAAGCAGGTAACAGCCCCCACTGAAACCTGCTATTCAAACTAAATATGGAGTATTTGAAATGCTTTTTAAAAGGTTTTTGCCAAGGAGCACGTGTGCTTACTGGAAAGAAGGAGAGGGAAAGTGAGAAGTTACCCACTGGGGGAGTAACTGCCATGCCACAATCTCTTCCTCCATTTTCCTCCTGGGATTTGGAGCAAGCATGCACATGTGCCCAGCATGATTTTTCAAACCACCAGGTCCAGGACTCGAGCCACAGTTAGCCATGGGGAAGTTTAGCACCTAAATCACCATACCACCTGCTGGCCCCTTGAGACATTTAAAAAAAGATACAGGAGGAAACTGACAAACACAGAAAAGTAGTAACCAAGATGATCCGAAGCCTGGGAACACCATACAAAAATTGGCAGAATTAACCTGGAGATGGTTAGCCTGAAGACTAAAAATACATGATCATCATCTTCAAATATTTAGAGAGGTATAATATGAACAAGCACAACCACAGGGTCAAAAACTAAAGCCAACAGGGGACCAGCAATTAGCGTAATGGCTATGTCGCTGGACTCCCACCTAGTCAACTGCGGTTTGAGTCCCGGACCCAGTGGCTTAAACTCATGCTGGGCGCGTGTGCGTGCGTGCCCAAGATCCTGAGAGGAGAATGGAGGAGAAGGGATTGCGGCGTGGCCATCCCCCCTGAGGGGGGATTTCTCGTTTTCTATCTCTCTGTCTCTCTCTGTTTTCTGGCGAGCGCATTCGCCCTGTAGGAAAAATCTCTCCAAAAAAAAAAAAACATTAAAACATTAAAAAACAAACAAACAAACAAACAAACAAAACTAAGGCCAACAGCTGAAGAAGCATGGAAGCTAAAACAAAAACAAAAACCAAAAAACAAAACAAAAAAAACACCTTCCTATTAATACGATGATCTAACAAAACTATCCAAAACCTGAAATGCAACCAACTTCTTAAAGCAAGCCAACTACTGCCTGACTCTGGAAATATTCAAGTAGAGGCTAGATATTAAAGAGGGGATTCTTTGTTGGACAGGAATTGGAAGAAACTGATTTCAAAACACCCTTTGAGCTGAAATATTATTAAGGACAGTTAAGTCTCTCAGCCTTCTATTCTGGTCCTATGGTCATATTAAACTTCATATTCCAGTGAAGCAAAATTATACTACTTCCTTGGCAAGACCATTCTACTTACACTGCCCTTCAACATACCTCATGCTTTTGGACCTTAGCACTTACGCTGTAATCTTGGCCTCTCCCTAT